CTGATATTATTCTACTTTTAGGTATAAAAAATGCTGATGAAAGTGAACTGAAGGAAATTGCTACTGATCCAGATGCTATTTATGTATTCAATGTCCAAGACTTCAACCTGCTCACCAATATTGTTGATCCTCTCACAAATAATTTGTGTAACAGTGTCAAGGGTGGTGGAGGTGAGCTGTACTTTTTTTTATTATACTGTGATATTAGAGGTAGTATACTAAATGCACTGGACACTTCATTCCTTTATTTCAAATAGACTTGAAGCTGAACTCCAGGCAAATAGCTACATACGCAGCTGAAATTATTATACGGTAGCTCTTTTACCTACCAAAGGATTTGTATTTTTTTCCATCCAGTCTCCAGTGACCTAATGCAGATAAACAACACAGCTGGGTCACTTCCCCCAGCCTCTGAATGGACAAAGAGGGAGCAGCAGCAAACTGATTAGATTATCTCTCTGCTCCTATAGATTATCTCTCTGCTCCTATCAACATGTTCCTTGTCAGCACATTTGAAAGCAGTACTCTTGATTGGCTTTAAATACCGCTTTTAAATTGGCTTGATTGGCTTTAAATAACTAGAGGGAAAATGAAATCAAATTCGGGTGCAAATACTAGGTTTTTTTTTCATTGCATTTAATGGTTTACTAGTAAATACATAACTGCTTTCATTTTTATCTTTGTAACATCTGCCCACAGTTCAGCTTTAACTAGAATATGGTGCATTGTAAATACATTATCTTGTCTACATGTAATAACTGCTAGTATTGGGGGTGGGGGAATTAGTATTAGTTTCCCTGAGTGGAGATACTTTACCAATGAGTGGAAATACTTCAACATTTAGTTGCTGATCAGAGTGGGAGCCACAGTCAGTGACACATGCTGGCAAAATACAGCTATCTGTTCCCTGTTCTGACCTGTAATTACAGCATCTGGCAGAGGGAAGTCTTTCTTTATAAACTTATTTGCATCTGTAAAGGTGCCCATACACTGCACGATTCTCATACGAGAATCGCGGGAATTCACGCGATCGTATGGTCGCACGTCTTTTGTCTAAGGAGTATGCTAGAAAACCATTTTCGGCTGGTTTGAATGATGCTCGGGAGACAAATACCGAACGGGCCGGTGTGCACACTGCCCGTTCAGCATTGCGGTCATCGGAAGCCCGCCCCTCAGGGGGACGGGCTTGCGATGATCTCAAGTACGATCTGCCTGTCCAAATGGGCCGATCGTTGTTTTTTTGTATTACTTTACAACCATCACAAGACTAAGGTCTTGCGATGGTTGTAAAGTGTATGGCCACCTTAAGATGTCAGGTGTTTGAAAGCAGATAACCACAAAGGAAGCTAATGCTGGAAGATATGAAAATATGTGTCACAATAAGCCAATAAACCCACCTTTTACCATATCCACCAATCAATAAGGCACAATGCCACACTTCCTGTGGTACCCTTTATTTAGCACGTGGTTGTTTTCCCCTACCATAAAATAACTAGTTGGCTGTGTTTACCCCAAAGGCCAAAGGTTCCAAGTGCACCCCCTGTTTATCGGTGTTGCTGAAATATTATGTAGTGATCGCTGTTTGCCGAGGTTAACATTTAAAGGGTACTACTAAAATGGACACTAGGAAATATCATTAAAGGAAATTATGGGTTTCTGGGAATACTATTCTGACTGGATGATTTAAGACCATGATTTAGATCAGATCAGTGTGTGGGTGCTTGTAAATGAATAAATCAGAAGTGATCTGGCCAAATTCCAAATGTTTGTATAATAGTTTGCTTATTTTTTTAAGTATATATGGTTTGTATACCTCAAAACAACCAGACTGCTTTTCTTCTGGCATAGAGCATGTAAAATACATTTAAAGTAAGCACTCAGGAAAGATAATTGCTTTTTATCTCACACACCCAACTTTTTCCCTGCCAGAAGTAACTTTCTCCTTCATACAATTTCTCTCGCTTACTTTCATTACCTATCCTGACCCTGAGGCAGTCTGTGTTCATTGGCACTCCTTGTTCCCAGGGAATGCTCTGTGGAACAGCCTTTGCATGCCTCATGCACACTACAATCTTTCTATCATTCTATTTTCAGTAGCCTCAGAGCAGGAATAAGGTTTCTGTTTTGTTTTGATAGTATAGATAAATCTTTAGAATAATTTAACTGTTGAATGTGAACACAGGTGACCTGGAAGCCCCTTCTGACCTGAGAACATCAGAGCCCACTCACCAGTCTTTTCGAGTGTCATGGGTTCCCCCATCTCACAGTGTGGACAGATTCAGAATCGAATATTATCCAGTATCTGGAGGCATACCTCAAGAGGTGAGTTTCAAGTAAACACATTACAGGTCCTGGGGACTGTATTGCATACTTTGTTTTTGTGATGAACAAGATTTCTTTGTTGAACTCCTCATGTATGCTTCACCTGTTTATGCATTTTATCAGTTCATTGGGAAACCTTTATTTGCTTTGCTCCTGCTTGAAATTGGTGACCTGTGTGGGCATGCATTGCCTACTAACATAGCAGAAAGAGCAATGTTGTGAAGTGGCCACTGGCAACCAATTAGAAACTGGCTTTTCACCAGCTTTGATTGGGTAAACAAATCATTGCCCTGGCAGACTGCATGCAATGACTGTTTTCATCCAATAAATGATAGTTGATCTGAATTGAAGCAAATTAACGTTTTAATTCTTCTTCAAATATCCCAACAAAGTGTTAGACCTCATGCACACTAGTGATGAGCCGAACACCCCTGTGTTCAGTTCGAATTCAAACTTTCGAACATGGGAAAAGTTTGAATTCGAACTCAAACTCAATGCAAGTCTGTGGGGGTAGAACTTTGAAAATAAATTGACCCCATTTTGAAGGCCTTTATGCAAGTTAATGGCCATAAAAAGGGTATGGGGATACGGGTACTGCCCTGGGAGCATGTATCAAGGAGCAGTGATTTTAAATTCCTTAAAGTGAAACAATAAAAATTAAAAATTTCTTTAAATATCGTGCCTGGAGGGTCCCCTTAAATAAAAAAAAAGCGTGCGGTTCCCTCTCCCAAACAATACCAGACCCTTTACGTCTGGTAGGAATGTTAAGAGGGAACCCATTTAAAAAAAGAAAGAAAAAAAGGCATAGGGTTCCCCCTAAAAGGCAGACCAAACCCTTAATGTCTGGTAGGAATTTAAGGAGGGACCCCATGCGGGCAGGGGGCTTATTTAATAAAGTGGCACCCAGATGCAGCCCCCCCTGTGAATGAGTAAGGGGCACTTGTACCCCTACCCATTCACAAAAGGGTTAAATAAAAGTTTTTAAAAAGAGGCCAGACTTTTGAAAAAATCCTTTATTTGAAAAAAAGACATGTTTTTGACAAGTCTTTTATTTAAAAAACAAAACAAAACCCAAAAATGGATCCACCGACCTAATCCAGCATCAATCACGATGTCCAGTGTTGTCCATGACGACGACGACTCAACAAAATAAAAAATCTAACAATAACAAATAAAGAGAAACAATCATTTAAAAAAAACCTAGACGACTGCCGCCCTGTCCACTTGCGACGTTCACACGCCGCAGAATGGCATTTTGACAGATGTCAGCAACATGTCAATATTTGGGGCAGAGATAGCAGTGACAGCTAGCTCCACCCAACTGTTTACAGTTGTAACAGGTGAGCCATGATTTGACAAAGTCACCATGACTTTACCCAATCATGGTTCTCATAGTTCTCTGTGCCCTGCGGTCAGGTGAAAGGCTTTAGCCAATCAGGGCTTACAAGGCACAGTGTCTTGCGGGGCGCTCAGCGGACAAACAGCCCGCTGAACGCCCTGACAGTTTGTGTGTTCGCCGAACACACGAACTGCCGATATTCGAGTCGAACTCAAGTTTGGCTCCAACATCGAGCCATTCACTAATGCACATTAGCATCAAAAACAGAGCATTCAGATCCATACAGTGCACATTTTTGAATGGATCTGCATGCAAGCATTGGACCTATATGTACATTCATCCACTCGAAGTTGAGGACCATTTAAAATAGAAACATATAGATTAAACTGCAAAATCAAGAAAAATTGCATTTATGGCCCATTCAGAGTTGGTTTAAATGCAAACGCATGTAAACAAACTTATTTGATATGCATCTAAGCAGATTTTCTTTTTGGGAAAATGCACAGCCAGAAGACATGCATACAAATATGCACCATCATGATGCCAGTGAGCAAGATGCCTGGTCTTTAAGTATTTAGAATAAGAATAGCATTAGGTTATCAGAATATTTGCTTCATTTTACATTTTAGTCTTTGCCTATTTTTCTCATATTTCTTTTCTTTCAATAGGTTATTGTTAACAGAAATGACAAAACAACAGTACTGGTTGGCCTAAAGCCTGAAACTGAATATGTAGTCAAAGTGTATTCAGTGGTAGAAGGAGAGAGCAGCGAGCCATTGGTTGGCCAAGAAACAACATGTATGTTTTTTTCATGTTATAAACAAGTCTTCTCCTTCTCCTTCTCCTCCTCCTTCTCCTTCTTTTTCTCCTTCTTCTCCTCCTACTTCTCTTTCTTCTTCTCCTTCTTCTCCTTCTTCTCCTTCTTCTTCTTCTCGAAAATGTCACACACCCCTTGAAGACGTCATAGAAGGATAACATGGCACAGACTGTTCATGTTGAGAGACCTTTTTGAACCTACTCAACACAGAAATCAAAAGTAACTGTGGAAGTACCACTAAGCCGGTTATTCACAAAGACAGTGAAATGGAATATGTGCTTTGAGCTGTCTACATTTGGATTCTTCCTCTTTGTTAGTGGACAGGGGAATTATTTGATTCCTTTGATCTCTCCAATACCATAATGACCCTTGCCATGGAATCCCTTAAAGGATACCTGTCACATGAGGACATGGTTAACCCTCTTGTGTCAAAAATTTAAGTGACTGATTGGGACAACAATGAGGTGCAGTAGATGAGCAATGGCAGCATCCAATTTCTCTCATGTCACAGGTTTACTTTAGGATTATCTACAATGTTCTTTCAATAATACGTTTAAGATCATAACCCATAAAATTGTTATATAAAAAGTGATATGTAACATCTCAAATTGAATTACACTACCCATGTTTGAGATTTTATATACTAATGTTTCACATTCAAAAACTAGACTTACTCACTAAAACACCATTTTAGCAGAACTTTGCTGACTTTATAATAACATTAAAAAGTGCACTTTAAGAATAATTTGTGGTTCATGCGTTGATAAAACATCTTGTTGTTTGCTGATAGTCTCTTACAGTGCAACTAGTATGCTTTATAATGAATCACATTTACTGAACATTTCTTAAAATAGACTGCATGTGTAAATTTGACTGCAGTATAACTTACACTCGACACCACTGGTGAAATCCAGCCATCTCACTTTTAGAATTATTTTTATGACCCACATAAAAACTGTTAACTTTTCCCATTGTCATTTGCTGAATAATCTCCAAATTCAAATTATCTAAGATCACTGGCTTTATACGCATTGCCACATGTGGTATTCATTTATTCATGTTTAAAGCGAGAAAATGTATTCAACAAGAAATGGTTAAAGCATATGTTTTGTGTTAATTAATACCATATTGGATGCTTAGAAATGACCCATGTCATTGACCTGACAAAGGCAACATGCCATAATATTTAATGATGAATGTAGAGGAAAAAGAAACAGACAAATATTATGAGGTCATTGTTGCCCTTTCTATGAATCATAGCAGCACCAGCCCAATTTCTTCACTGCTTTTGAGGCATAAAAATTTAGAAAGTTTGTTTTTTTGAAACGGCAAAGAGGTATACGTGACATGGAGTTGTCTAACTTGAATTTGCAGCTTATGCAGATACGTATACAACTAAAACAAAATCTGAGATTAAAATACAATATAATGATATAGCTAGTTATCATCCAACTGCCATAGATTGAATATGATCACATGGTCATTCTGGAACAGCATATGAAAAAACCTAGATGATTTAAAAGGATGTATCCAATCCTAGACTGTCTGATTGGTGGTTCTGAAATGACTAGTGTTTTAGTAGGAACTCCAAGATTTGGTGTTCCAAAAAAAGTATCTGCTTTAGTTATTCTTTTCTTTTTTGCTTTTTTTTTAAATCAATTAACTACTTCAAAATTGCATATATATTTTTTCCAAACATATGTACTGTATATACAAAAGACTTTAAGGTGGATTATTATCTGAATTGACACTGAATGGGTTATTCACAAAAGAGTGAAGAGTTTGAAGAATGCAGGTGAAGTGAACAATTTAGGACAACATAGCTGAACTCGAAAGTGAGCTGAATTGGAATCCTGCCTTCTCTAAACTCTTCACCCTTTTGTGAACAACTCTCTTTTTTCAAAAACAATATATTATGTAAATATATAAAAACATGAATAAGAAGCAAAGACATAACTGAAACAAGTGTGGCCATTTCACTTGATTACTGCGTCCTTATGGAGCCCCTTGGACCCCATGTCCAGGCTGTACATGGAGCCTCAACTTCTACCTTAGTCAAGATTTAGCTCCTCTTTCCCCCAATACAATTTAACCCACTTCATTTAACTTTCAAATACAAGACCTAAAAGGGCAGTTTAGGCTCTTGCATTTAGGAGTTGAAAGACAGAATGACATGCTTAGCTCCTGGAGGGGACGTGGCCTAATTTTGACTTGGAGAAAAGCTTCATCCCACTGCACTTACTAAGCTAAGGTCAAGGTAGAAAAAATGGTACATGCATGAATCTATAACCAGCCTTTATAGGAGGGCGCACATTGGGAAGGCTTACAACAATACAAAACACAAAAATTCCCCAGCCTCAACCTGCCAGCCAGCCTGCAACCAAACAAGTAGCCCTGTCAACAGTATGCGTTAAAATCAGAGGTTTTAGTTGCACAAACTTTTGGCCAAAAATATGTAGAAGCCACACTGCTGCGCCAAGGCACCTCTGCAAAGTGTGGTCCTAACTCTATGTATCCGAGTCTCCAAGTGTGAGCATGTTAATGAAGTTGATAAATTACATGCAGGTGTACCTGAAGCCAGCCAACTCCTCCTAATAAGGTGCAGGGTCGCACTGGAGGCCCAGCAACCAAAAATGCACGCTGGGACTCCAGTGCGTCCCCCAAACCAAAAATAGTCAAACTAGAAAAAATGGTACATGCATGAATCTATAACCAGCCTAGCAGGGCGCACACGGTGCTCTACAGGGATAGATCTGAAGACTTACACAAGTACTTACATTCATAACAAGATTCAATAATTTTTAGGTTTTAATCGGCTTTACTTTAAATAAAGGCATCCACAAGCAGATTACATATATATAACAAAAATCTCCTTACGTCAACAGTGCCCATACCTTCTGTTAGAAACCTTAACATTTATGACATTGGAACTACAATAATGAGAGCAAGATGGGAAGCTGCCAGTGGAGCTACTGGATACCGTTTAACATATGAGCCTGTCAATGCAACTGTTCCTTCTGAAGAGAAAGAGGTGAGGAATGCTGGTCTGCCAGCCAAGCTAAATAAAATATCAGAAATCAGGGCATCTGATAATATGATTAAGATAATCTTCTTCCTTGAATTGTTTTCATATGAGCCATTCTCTTCTGCCAGTGGTGAAATGTAAATCCAGAGAAATAAATCACTGACTAGCGGAATGTACTGAAAGAAACTAGATGTCAGTGTCCTGTTCTGTTCTAATACATTTGTATGATCATGTTTACAGCCCTTTTATCATCTACCAAGACTTAGATTTCCATATGTGAATGATGATAAGCGTAAATAATTTTATAATCAAAAGCCTGCATGCTATGGAAAAGGCTAAGTACATGTGTAGGCCAAGTTACAAACACTTCCAATTTATAGCTTGTGCTTTTTTTGTCACTGTTCATTGGTTTTTGTCTACGTTCTAACACTGTAGGCATTTGGCAAGGTTTTTATGTACGTGTTTGTAAAGCATATTCTAAACAAATTTCTTTTGCCATTTGCAGAAAGTTGTTGGCCCATCTGTTACTGACGTGCGGCTAGAGGAGTTATTCCCAAATACAGAATATACATTGACGGTTTATGCACTTTTTAATGAACTTTCTAGTGACCCACTCACAGCTCAGGAAGTCACACGTAAGAATTGAACTATAAAGGAAAAGATACTATTGCAGAGGGACTTTAAATAATATTTTTGTTAAACTAAAATTGCTTTATGGTTGATCCTGAGTCTCAGCTTTCTAGTGTGAGCTGTGCACTGAACTTTTGAATGCATAGCTATAACAATACAATTATATACATAGTGTCTTTCATTAAATTGTAGCTATGCTGCTGGCTTATCTCTGCAGTCATAATGCCTAACAATCATAAACTGTACACAAGTGCAGGGGCGGACCTACTGCCGGTGCGGCTGCCCCAGGGGCCTGAGCCTAAATGGGGGCCCAGTATCCAATGTAACACAGCCCCGGAGCAGAGATGGGTGTCCGGGCGCTGGATAGCATCGGATTGGTATCCGGCGGGCCCCCCCAGCACTATGCCGGGAGTGTCCGATGATCACATTGGTATCCGGCAGCTGGCGGGCCCCCTCATCTGTGCGCCGGGAGTGTCGGATGATCCGACACTCCCAGGGCAGAGATGGGGGGGCCGCCGGATACTGAGGAGGGAGCCGAGAATAAAAAGGCCGGCAGGCACTTCAGGGGGCAGACCCGGGCCTCGGCCGTGAGGACCCAGCAAGCAGCCGTCTGAGTACACGGGCCAGAAGAAGTGAAGGTAAGTTATTAAATAAAATAATTATTTTTTGTAGCCCAAATGATGGATATGCTGTATGACACCCTCTATAGAGGACTACAAATCTCAGAAGTACTTGATACAGCAATCCTATTTTTCCAACTTTTTTTGTGGTTGCTACAGGGGATGTGGGTTGGGGGGTTTGTGTTTTTTTTGGTGGGGAAGGGGGGCCCCGAAAAAAATTATTGCACCAGGGCACTTTGTTCCCTAGGTCAGCCACTGCACAAGTGTAAAACTTGGCCAGTCCATTGTTACATTATCTTGATGTTTTAGGGTTGCACAATACAGTTCACACTTCTTTATATGTTGTTTAGATTTTAAACACATGTATTGAGTAAGCCAAAATATTAAATTGGGAAAATACCACTTCAGGATATAACATGTTCACAAATAATGTAGACTATTTACTAGGAATGCACCAAAATGCAAATTCTAAACCGAAACTACAAAAATTTGTCAGGCCAAAGCCGAAACCGAAAATGACTTATTTTTTCCCCACATATTTTATTATTAAAAATAATTGTATGTATTATATTAGACATTTCACTTCACTTCATTGATTTAAAATAACCAGAATTGAAAATCTCCAAGTCAATATAATAGAATACCCAAACTTTTATTTAAAATAACACCCAAAAATGGACAAAAAATACATATAATAATATATAAATCTTATTATTGCAAAACAGTAACAACAAATCCAGTAATAAACTCAAACAGCAGCTCTAAGCTTAAATTTGTTTCAGTGTAAAAGGGCAAAATTTTACACTTTAAAGGGACATGTATCCCTTCAAAACACCAGTGGAAACAATTGTCTCATTTATTAGTTTGATAACTGAATGAGACAGCTGTCTCATTTTTAAAACAAAAATAAATTCTTTTTATTTTTTAGCTTATACTTACCAGCCACTGGGTCCACCCTCATCATGGTCACATTTCAAGGAAATTGGAATCCCAATGCAGACTGCAAATCTGATGTCTTTTTCAGAAATTGTGAAATATTTCCACACCACTGACATGATCGACCTTTCCTGGGTAGTGCAATGATAACAGCAAGACAGAGTTAAATCTGGAAAAAAAATGTAAAGCATCAACTGTAGAAAGTTTACTCAACAGAGGAGTAAACCTGAAAAAAAATCACACTGCTATCATGCCCAGGTTACATGCTGGAATCTGGACATGCCTGAGCATGAAGGACATGCAGTCAAGGTAGGCAGCTGAGGCACATTATGGAAGAAAAAGCTGTCAGCTTCAAGTTCTGAAGCTGACAGCTTTTTTTTCCAATAATCAGAACTTCCTTGTTGACCTCGGGCCCCCTCTGCTGGCAGTTGAATGGGACAGGGAAGGGGGTAGCGGGCAAGTTGCCAACTGCAGGTCTGAAAAAAAGGAGATTGAGCTGCAATCAATAAGACCATGCTGTCTAATGTTGATAATTCTGACTTAACACGCCACAGCTATGTGTCCATGTGCTCCCGGGTCTACATGCAAAACTCTGCTGTCTAATCTTGCCAAGTCTGAGCCCCCTCCACTGCTGTGTGTTCATGTCCCCCCCATCTTCAATGTGGCCATCCTGGGCATTTATATTGATTTGCTCCCACATAAGAGTCACGTTAGTTGGGGTGGGGTCTGAGCAGAGTCACAGCAGGTGGCTTCACATTGGTGGGCAGTTTTTAAAGCTTGTACTGTGTGGGGGGTAGGGCAATTGGCTCATTATTGCCACATTTTTTGTTGTTTCTGCATTTTCCCAAAAGTGCTATTTTCGGTCAATATGTTTAGGTTGCCGATATATCGGTGCATACCTAATTTTTATCATTGCAGTTTCCTAGCTACCTGTAAGCCATGAATCTCACATCTAAGGAAATACACTGAATTTACTCATGGGCATGTCACTAAACTACATCAGTATAACCAGCCTTTTATTTTTAACTCTACATTCCATTTGTTTTTCAGTGCCTGTTCAAGGAGTAGGAAATATAAGACTCAGAGATATTACACACAGTTCTATGAATGTATTTTGGGATCCTGCTCCTGGAAATGTCCTAAAATACATAGTGAGATACAAAACAGGGGATGAGGAAGAATACAAAGAGGTGAGAATGAACTATGTGAGCAGGATAGGCACTGTCTGTCATATATCGATCATGGTTTAAGCTAATCATTCTAAGTAATTTGCTTTTAAATATTGCTCTCTTGAGCATGAACTAGTTGGGAACTTTATAGCATTTACAGATCAAACTCTCTGTACACTATACTGTTTATATCCTTTACACTAGTTAAAGCGGACCTTTATCCATATCTTTAAAATAACAACAAACACACCTTTAGAAGTGTTTAGTAATGACAATCTACAAACACAAACGTCTAGATCAGTGGTTCTCAACTCGTGGGTCGCGACCCAAAAGTGTGTCGCGACACCCTCTGCAGTGGGTCGCGGCGTCATGTCTGACCTGAGACGGCGGCGGCCTGAGACTGAATAGAGAGGGGGAATTATATATATATATATATATATATATATATACGTATATATATATGTATATGTTTTTTGAATGAAGCCTGCAAAGCATTGCAACTGTGATCAGTAGACTACAAGTGCAATGCTCTGCGATCAGTAGACTGCAGACGCTTCCTCCTGTCCATGTCTGTACCTTGGTACGGGCATTCATAAACATGGATGGGAGGAAGGAAGAATGAATGAACTACAAGTGCAGTGGTATCACCTTTAAACACATCAAAGCCTGTTTGAGTGCTTGACAGTAAGGGGGATCATGCTATTAAGTATGAAAGGGCAATGTGATTTTTTTTATCCTCTCATGTAGAAAGATCATGTGATATGCTAAATGCATATATTGCGCCATTATTTGTTGCTATCCTATATTTCCTTATGCATTTCATGTTTTTAGATTGAAGTGGAAGGCAGAAGGACAACGACACCTTTAACTGATCTTTTTTCGAAAACTCTGTATGATGTCAGTGTCACTGCAGTGTTGGATGTGGGACAATCCCAGCCACGACGTACACAAGGCACTACAGGTGGGTTCCAATACTTTGTACTTCCAAAAACCACTTCAGTTTTTCCTCAATAAATATGACCTTTTGATTAATGTATTTGTATGAAGTTCTTACTATGGCAAGTATTGCCTGTTTGAAGTCTAATAGTGAGGCCATTTGTATAGAGGTCTAATATCTGAAATTTGAATCACCTAATTATTTATCTTTTGGAACAATACTTTTAGGCTTCTTTAATTAGGCAAAATGCAAAGTGAAGTAACCCATGCTCACCAATCAGAATTCATCTTTCAATCACTTGGCTTGAACAATCCTACATTTTATTGGTTGTTGTACATTACTGCAATTTCCTTTTTAAACTTTGGACTGTTTTAATTGAATAAGTCTGAAAATGCTTATGTCAGGACCCCATATACCTAATCAAATAAATATAAAAAAGATATACTGAAATAGACAATACTAAAAATAAGAAGTAGTAAAGGAGGGCTATTCTTTAATAAATATCAAATACATATTAATCATAATAGCATGGACCATACACTACCATGTGGTAATGGAGATATGTTTTATATTATGTGTTAGAAAGATGCTAAAATCACACAGGTATGAACAGATACATACAAACAAAAAATACAATCAACAACAATGGGGGTTATTACTAGTATATATCTTCTATAGATGCTTTTTTTGCGCTTTTCATTGCATACCTTGAACTACTTTGTAAAATCACCATGATTGATGACATATATATTCTTATTTAAGCATGTTGCTGTATGTTTTTTGTGTCTTTTTTTGCTTAATATATGTACAAATTCCTATATTTTGAAGGGAATAATTTGCATTCTATTCTGATATATATATCTGCTTATTATTCCTTCTTTTAATGGGAATAGCTCCTGTGCCAGCACCGACCAACCTCCAATTCTCTGAGATAACAAGACAAAGCTTCCGTGGAACTTGGGACCATGGAGGACCTGATGTAGCTATGTACAAGATAACTTGGGCACCTGTTGGAAGACCAGGACAAAAGAAAGATGTAAACATTTGGTTTTAATTAAGAACTAAATTGAGGCAATACATGATATCAGTCTTAATACATATTTAAATGTTGCAGACCATTGTGGAAGGAGATAGCAATACTTTGGAATTCGTGAACCTGGACGCTGACACTCCATATGATGTTTCAATTACTGCTGTCTACCCTGATGAATCTGAGAGCGAGGAACTGTTGGGCACCGAACGAACATGTAAAGATAGCCTTTTCGTTTTAATATGTTATATTCACATTTTTTTTTTTGATTACACTAATTAATTTACTTTTGTTTCTAGTACCCAAAATACCTGTTACAACTCCAAGTAAGTGATTTTTCTTTCTGATCTAATTCTCATTCATTACATTTAAAGCATTTACCTTCAAATGTAAATATTAGATAAGCTTCTACATTTCTTAAATAAATAACACTTACTTAATTGTGAATTATGATTCAGGATATGGCTAAAAGCAAAGATAATACCAATGTTCATTTATTTTAGTATCTTTGTGCGACCATGCTGAAATGGCGGTGCTGAGTGAGCTTTGCTGTATGTTTGGTCAGATATCAGTGCACCAAGCTATGTATGTAGCAAAGGTGAAAAATAGAAAGGAGAAAAGTAGAGTATAGGGATGCACTGATACCATTTTTCTGGTATCGAGTACGAGTACCGATATTTTTTTTCCCGATACTCACTGATACCAAAGACCGATACCGTTAGTCCAATTAAGGAAGCCGGGTGGCGCGATTTTGACCGATTAGCTGGGAAGCTGTCTCCATGCTTTCTCGTCACCAGGTAATGAGGAAGCATGGAGCTGGCTTTCTGGCCAATCAGGGAGCCCGAGGGTGGGTAATGACTCGCCCCCCGGCTTCCTGGTTGGCCAGCTTCATGACCAATCAGGAAGCCGGGCGGCAAGTCATTACCCGCTGCCCAGCTTCCTGATTGACCAGAAAGCAGGCTCCATGCAGCCTCATCACAGGTGATGAAGAAGCATGGAGCTGGCTTCCCGGCCAATCAGGAAGCCGGGTGGGCGAGTCATTACTCGCCCCTGGCTTCCTGATTGGCCGGGAAGCCAGCTCCATGCTTCCTGGTGACGAGGCAGCATGGAGCCAACTTCCCCGCCAATCAGGAAGCCGTGCAGCGGCCTAGCCCGTCTGGCTTCCTGATACCGGAAGTACTCAGTACTCAGTATTGGTTCCGATACCGATACTAGTATTGGTATAGGTGCATCCCTAGTAGAGTATGTTGTTCATAAGGGAGCTGCCATTCCTGAGAAGTTTTATTTTACTACATGGATGTGTCAGAGCTAAAACAATCCTTTACAGTTAAATTATTTACAATGCAAAGTTTTAGCAAGGTTCCTGCAGGTTCATATCTATTTTTGTCCTGGCAAAGCTGATTCAGGATACTCCATCATCTTTACCAAATCCACTGATGAGCGGAATAGCCTGCCTGCTATAATCATTTGATCAGATGCTGTTTTCTATTAAGATAAACTCTGCATCTCCAACACCTATGTAGCTAAAGGGCCAATTTATCATCAGATAAATAACATTTACTGCATTAAACCCAAAGACAGAGCTGACAATGGCTTAAGGTTTACGTCAAGCCCAAGGAAAAGCCTCAGGGAAAAACAGTAAACTGATCACATAAGCAGGAAATAAGATTTCAGGGGTAACATTCTGTGCACAAAATGTTTCTATAAATCTGATACCATTGTTTAAAGTAAGTTATTTTAATTTTGTTGGAAGTTTAAAAAAATTCTAGCTACTGTATCTGCATATTGAAATGGAAGGACAGTTTTCAATAATGTTACATTACAAATATGGCTAGGTTAGTAATTATTGTATGTCCATTTTTCAAGATGTACATTATTCCTTTAGAGCTATCTTCCAACTATTTTGCTATAATAAATTCTCCACATAAATTCTAGGTCCAAGAAATGGCCCACGAAACCTGCAGGTGTTCAACGCGACATCCAGCAGCTTGACTGTGAGATGGGATCCTGCCAGTGGAAGAGTGCAGAAATACAAAATATTTTACCAGCCTGCTGTTGGAGAGGGTGCAGAACAAACGGTAAAGCAATAACAAATTAGTTGAAACCCAACTGGACTTTCAGTTTAAATCAAACAAATACATTCCATTTATACGTTTCAATATTTATTTTTCCTGGTAAATGCACATTCAGATAATTTGTAAGCCTTTGGCTTGCTTTTGGAAATTGTGCCAGTATGATTTGCCATCTTTAAAGAAAACAGAACTGGTCTGTATAACATCCACAGAAAAGTGGCTCAGCCGATCCAGATGTTGGATCGGCTGAGTCGAACTCCTTCTGCACTTCGGGTCAGCCGAACATGCTGAGCATGTTCGGCTGATCCGAAGCCACACGAAGCAAGCCGATGTGCGTCTGATTTCAGCCGATGTACGGCTGAAATCAGCCGTACCAGCCTGAAGTGAATAGCCGAACAGTGTTCGGCTCACTTCACTTCTGATCAGTCATTCACTCGGCTGCCCTCGGCAGCTTTGTGAATAGACCCCATAGTTTAAAGCCAGAATCACGCAGCAGTGTATATGATAGTATTTTCCGGAGTGCATGTACATATCTATACATGAAATGCCTTTAATAAGCTATTGTGAAGATGACCGTTTTCCAATAATTTAGGGTATATTTTGCCATATGCTTAAACATATGTCGAAACTCTGCTGTTAAATGTGAATATTGGATGAAAAAACCCTGTTTAACTGTATTAAAGGAGAAGAAACTAGCGGAAAATTATTTTATTTCATTTTATTAACAAATGACATTAATGCGCACTTCAAAGCTTGTCCAGCTGTTCCATAAAATGCATCTGCTGGAAGCATGATGATAAAACCTTAAAAAAAACATCAAAATCAAAGGGACTATGCTGAAATCCTGTGAGCTCAGTGGGGAAGGCTGTCTTTTTCCCATACTAGCTGATGTGTTTACACAGTGACTTGAAAACTGAATATTTTATCCCATTTTTTTTAATAGCTCACAGTGGCATGTAGAAAATCAAGATAATTGGGGTTGCTTTGCTAAAGACAAATAGGCTGATCACTTTGCACTGGAGTGTGCACTTTGCACTGGAATTTTTTAGCTTTTAGCTTTAGCTTTGTGAATGAGGTGAAGCTTTGCTGACTTCTGTTTTTTTCCTTGCATGTGATTCGGTATTCTTTGCAAAGTGAATTTTTACCACATGGGAAGATTTTCTTGCACAGTGACTGGCCTATTTGCATTTAGTAAAGCAACCTGATTGTCTATTGTTTAGATTCTCTGCATTTATAGAGAAATACCCACTGTGCTTAGTTTTTCTACCCTTTTCTTGGGTAGACCTCTGTGCAGACATTAAACATTTTCCATATTTATCCATCAGTGGATTGCCTTTGGCTCTGTACATATGAATGCTATAATTGCTGACCATTTAATATTCCTCAATGTGTCCATGAGAAAAACAAAAATACATATGGTGCCCATGAAGTTAGATATTAAAGCCCTGGATAACTTTTAATTTAAATAAACTACTGTATATACATTCCATGTGCATCAAAACAAAAGGTGTGCCAAGTAGGAAAGATTATTTCCTGCCAACATGCTGCAGATACGGATCCCTGCTCTTTGTGTGGGAGCAGTGCACTGAGGCAATTGGGCTTTAACTTGCATTCACCCTTTATGTCACATTGGATGGTCTGTCCTTGTTGGCAAATTGTATTGTTAGCTTGCCACCTTCATGTGTCCCAAATAATTTCAAATAGCAAGTATATTTTGGAATGCAGACCTCATAAAATGCGTAAACTATTTTTGACAGCCCAAAGCATTCTTATTGTACTTTCTCATTAAGTTCATTACAATAGATACTAAACAACCTGGGATGTGTTACTCTAAACAATTTACAATAGCTTGCCCAAAGGTAACTTTTAAGCAGGCCAGATGTTTCCTACGGTTTTTAAAGAGTGCTTTAAAGTTCTAATACAGGATGTTTAGTGAGTTTTACTACCATGTTTAAGTCAACACAACTTTTATTAACTAGTGTAGCGGTGCTTATTAAGTGCATGTTTAAAACTCAGCACTACAAGTTTCACCGTCTTTAAATAAGCTGTAACATTTTAAAGTGCTGGTGTTGCTACTTGACATTTACTATGTGCATAGTTCTGTAAGTGTTTATTCAGTGATGAATTATGAAGCTGGCTGTAAACCTTTATCATATGGACAAATGCTTCTCATACTGTCATGTGCAGTGAAAAGTCTGAGATATATGACTTAGAGATTCATGTTGCTGCATATTACATCATAATGCATAAAACATTTAACGTAAGTGGTAGGGATTGCAAACAGCTTTAGCTGTTCACAGTTATATGCCACTGAATGAATAAAACTTCTTTCTTTTCTCTTAATTTTAAATGGTAGTTTGGTTTTTCCATGGCCTGGATGTATATTGCTTTGTGAGTACTATAATACATTCTGCCTGCTTTTCAAAGCTTTATAAAATGCCAACCAATTAAAATAGAAACATTAGAACTTACACTGGTTTTATCCACAACGGGAGCCACAACTAGTCAACCCACTCATTGCAGCATAGTAGGGGAGCAGAAGAAGGGGGGTGGTAGTAGAACCATTCAATTTAGGTACATAAACAGTTAACAGTCAGGATTAACTTTTGTAAAGACCTCTTTGACAACATCTCAAACCCAGCAACACACCATATATTACCATTGATTAATGTATTATAGGCCCATTAGGGTATCCTTGTCTTTATGAAGAAGAGATGGCTAGTTTATGATCAGACATATTCTGGTCATAATAGCAACATTAAAGGGTCTGAGCGGGGAGACAACAACTGGATTGCAGTTGGTGGGATTTTCCTTATGAAAGGGAAACATTTTAACACTATTCTGTGTACCATATTTTAAACTCTCTACACCTTCTAGATAGTTTCTTTCTTAATTGGCATTTTAAGTTAAAGAATTAATAATTTTCCAGCTTTCCTTATCATTTCAGTATCAACATGTACTAGTCTTAAATGGCAGAATGTTATGTCTTTTATCTATTTTTATGCACTGTGATTATCTTTTTCTTGAAGTTGTGTCCAGCTGCTAGTAAAACACATTCTTACTGTTGAATGTGTGTCTGTAAATGTTGTGAATAATCCAGCACATGAGAGCAAATGTTGGCAATGATACAACACCAATGCTGAGCTTCTGTCTCAGGGGATGTCTCAGCATAGGTTAAAAAGCTTATTTATGAAGATTTGCCAGCTGCAGTTTCGAGGTCAGGAAAAGACAATTAGGAGTTTTTTCAAATACACTATATTTCTTCAGTTTTGTAGCTGGGTTACTTAAGCTCCTTTTATCCCAGAACTCATTCCCAGCAGTATCTGGATATATAAAATTTACTAGGAAGGCCACCTTTCTGTATCTTGTACTGGTAGTCCACTGTAAGACTGAAACAGTAATTGGAAGATGAAAATATGGCATCATATGGCTTTATGTGGGTCATGAAATAGGTGTGTGGCCATCTATTCAACCAAAAAGATTGATTGAAAGCCTTCTGCCACAATACCTTGAATTATTATTTTCATTTATTTAAAGAACTCCACAAAGTACGCGTTACAATCAGTAGGAAACTTCTGGTCAATCTGCAAGTATTGCAGGAGGGGCCTGACTTATCCAACAGACGCCAAATTGGCCCCTCTAAACTACCTGACCTAAGATCAAAGACCAGGCACTGCATTATGGTCATTGTAGCAAATTCCTGCATTAGTTTGCTGGGTTCAGGAACCATAAACAAGCAACATTCACCTCAAACCCCTGGTAGAGGCAAAGCCGACCCTCATTACTACTTAGGAGGCAAAGGGTACCAATCTGGATTTAGATGGTATAAGAAATTGTGAGGACACAGGAGGCATAAGGAGAAGCAAAGCAGTTTTGTTGGTAGCACAAAGAAAGGCATGTGTGCTATGAGTGCTATGAGCAAAACTCTAATCCCTTGCCTCCTCTGTTGGTGCTTTTTTACCATGCTCCTGCATGAGCTATCCTGTAATCAGCATGATGTAATGGAGGGAACATGCATATAGACATATTTCATAAGAGCACTAGGCACTAGAAAAAGTAGTTAAAATTATAAACTTTATATTTAATAATTGTATTATATTAAAACAACAGCCTACTTCATAATTACATTGGAATTCACTTGGAGCTCTTTTGTGACCGCCTAAAAAAGGTTTTCCTGGCTGTAAGCACAACATATCTTCTGCTTTTTTTGATGCAGTTTACCTTCATTGTATCTTAGAACGGAAACTGTAAGTGCATGTCAGATCTACATTTATAGTGTTCTTTTTTACTAACTCCCTAGCAAACAGTTGGAGGAAGACAGAACAGTGTTGTGCTGCAGAGACTCCAGCCAGATACTCCGTACACTATAACTGTGGCATCACTGTATACCGAAGGAGAAGGAGGAAGAATTTCTGGAAGAGGAAAAACAAGTATGCTATACTATATTTTTGGAGATACATAAATAATATCCATAGATGAAACAGGGATTTCTAGGTGTGGTCGTATTCCATTTTGTATGCCCAGCATTAGCCAAATGCACCTTTACATAACCTCTTCTTATACTGTATGTATATGTTCTTATTTATATCCTAGGAATCCCTAAAACTTTGATGTGTTCTCATGTAATTATGTATTTCACCAGAATTGTGGAACTTTGTACTCCTCAAATACCCAAGCTATCCCTTAAAGCCTGGCATGGTTTGTCAGAGGCTAAAGATAGCTGTGAATTCAGCCTTTTCTGCAAGGAACCATCTTCATTATCCACGGGATGCTAAACAGTGTGCATAGGTGAATCCTTGCAGACTTCTGAATATCCATCCTTATACAGTCTATCTACAAGGCACTGATCCTAGCATGTCCTGGGGCCGAAGCTAGCCGAAGGATCGGCCGAAGCTACGGCCAGATCCTTCGGCAGCTTTGTGAATAGACCCCTAAGTCTATAGCACGTACCATGTTGTGATTGGCCCCTGGATCTCCCTACACATTAGGAGTTTTACAAATAAGTAAAGACATGTATGGCCCGTCAAGGCGCCTGATATCATTTGATTAATACAAAATGAAGCTATTTTCTAACAGATTACTTAAGCTACCTATTACCATGAATGAAAAAATGTATGAAGGGACATTAGTAACTCTTAGTAGCATGTAGGTAGTTTAGAAGATTATGGTTTCGCTGACAAATAAAGTGTGAATTTGGAAATAGCAAATATAGAAAAAGTATAACTGAAACATAATACTTGTTGTCAGTGCTCTTTGTTATACATCCGTAACTGTTTTTTCAGAGCCTCTTAACACAGTGAAAAATCTCCGAGTGTATGACCCAACCACAAGCACTTTAAATGTCCGCTGGGAAGCAGCAGAAGGGAATGTACGTCAGTACAAGATCTTTTATGTCCCGACAGCTGGTGGACCTGAAGAAGTGGTAATATTCTTTTTTTATTAAATGGCTAGATAATAGGTGTAAATAGGTGCTCTAAATGTGACAACTAAATAGCAATAGCAGTTGCATATATGTTTTGGGTTGCCTTAGTGTTTATTAGGATGTAGCCTGTCAATGTTTTGCAATCTGCAAATCAGCATTAACCAAAATGTGGTATGAATGATTCAAATAAAAAGCTGGATTCTTCATAATGTAGGTTCTGCTCACAAAATAGCTTCCTCCATTGAGTTTCCATGACATGACTTCTCGTGGTGCAGTTCTTTTCTGTGATGAGACAAAAATGCTGCGCTTACCCTTTGTTCTCTGTAACTTACAATATATGCTCAGCATTTTAATGATACCTGGAAAGAGCATCCCCTTACCACCAAGGTATAGAAAGAGCAAGAATTGAGTATTAAGCTAGGCATTCTCTGAGCTGTAAGCCATATGAGTTTAATAAGGAAATTCATAGCGGGCAGCAACATAGATGCCTGCCCAATGTTGTTAAGTTTTGAATGGCCCTAGTAAGAGGTGCAGTTCTGTGCAACGGATGCACCAAGTTATAATTAGACATTTTTTTGCTCATACATAAAATTATATTATGGTAAACTATGAATTAGTATGCAATGGTAGTTTTTTAATACTAGAGTCAATAGTAATATATATTTATTTTATAAGAAACATAAAGTATATCAGTACTGCTGCATTAAAATATGAACTCAGTGATGACTATAATAAACATGTAAAAAAGATGATTCCTTCCTTCTTTTCTCTAGACTACTGTTCCAGGAAATACAATTTATACAGTTCTTAGAGGACTTCAGCCTGACACACCATACACTGTAACTGTGGTCCCTGTATATTCAGAAGGAGATGGAGGTCGCATGTCAGAAACTGGAAGGACACGTATGTGAATCATGCTTTATTTTCATCTTTAGTGTCCTAACAAAATTAAATATAAATCACAGAGAGACGCTACTAAAGTTAGGAGTGTAAACAAGCTTTGGAAAAACAAATTAAAAAAAACAAGTAAAAGCAAAAACATTCAACATTTTTTTTATGATAAACTAGTGAAATAAGTTAGTATTCAATAGGCAATCTTTTACTCATATTAGTGTATCCAGGCATCTCCATGCACACCAAGGAATGTCAGTATAAAACATTCTTATTCTGTACAAAACACAAATGTTTGTAGCTGATATTTCTTTAAAAAGTACAAAATGCTATTTATGTGCACATTTCAGTAGTAAGGTTTCTTGAAAATGACTGTTATCAGTGTTATGAGCATTTAGTAGATCATACTGGGATGAGTTATTGGTCATAAGTGAGTAATGCCATTTGTTTAGCGGACTCAATAGACTTATAAAAAGTTTTAAAAACATTTGATTTCATTGAAAAGAATGCCACAATTTCAGTGAAGCAAAACATAAATAAGATTTATCATGGTAGACCTAATTATTTAATAATATGCTTAACTGTGCATAACAAATACTGTATATAAAAATGTTTATACTTTTTTTTGTAGTGGTACGAGGAACTGCACAAAATATTCAAGTATACAACCCCACTACCAACACATTAAATGTCCGCTGGGATCCAGCTCCTGGGCTTGTGCAGCAATACAAGGTCAACTACTCTCCATTATATGCAACAAGTCCTCCTCTGTCTGTAAGTAATGTGCCTTCTCGGTTGTAATCAAGTACTATTAGCTAGTGTGATCCATCTGTATGTAATAGAAATGTAAGTAACTGTAAAGAACATTGCTTACAATGTAAGATTTGAAATATTAAACATATCACTACAACAAATTTCTAAGGGGTCTATTCACTAAGCTGCCGAAGGATCTAGCCATAGCTTCGGCTGATCATTCGGCTTGCTTCGGCCCCAGGACCCATTCGGTTCAGTAGAACTAAAGGGTTGCTGTACGGGATATTCACTATAGCCCGTACAGCTCCCGTAGTCGGACGAGCGGCTCAGTCGAGTCAAAGGCATATGCTTCGGCTTTAATGAGCCGAGGGGAAAGCCGAAGCTTACTGAACGGCTGGCCATTGGCCAGCCTGCTACTAACTGCTGGGCGGTTAACTAACTGCTATTTCAATTTGCAATATCCAATAGCAAACTAGCTATTGCACTCGCCCACTGCTGCTGTCAATCAGCAGAGGGGACCTGAAGTTGTCCATCAGGTCCCCTCTAGTGACTGACAGCAGCAGAGGGCGGGTGCAATAGCTAGTATGCTATTGCTATTGCAAAGTGAAATAGCCAATAGGAATCTAGCTTTGCATTACTATGGTGATTTTTTTTACATTATTCTGACGGCAGCAGAACCGCCCGGCTAATAGAAAACAGTTGTCACTGCTAGCTCTGCCCAATCGTTTTCTATTTTATTTTACTACTTTTTTAACTGTTTTTCTATTCTGCTCGGTACCACAGAGGTACCGAGCAGAACAGCCGAGCCAAATGCCATTCGGCGGCATTCGGCTATTCCCTCACTGCTGTTCTGCATCTATGAGAATAGGCCGAACAGCAGCGAGTAGCCTGCCTGAGGTTCGGCTTAGCCGATCCAGATGTTGGATCGGCTGAGTCGAACTCCTTCTGCACTTCGGGTCGGCCGAACATGCTGATATTTGTTCGGCCGACCCGAAGCCAGCCAAAGCCGTACCAGCCTGAAGTGAATAGCCGAACAGCGCTTCGGGTCGGTTAATAGACCCTAATAGACCCCTAAATAGTTTTTAAAAAAATGGATGTAAATTCCTGAGGGGAGACATTTTGCATGATGCATAGATTTGTATGTTGGAAATGATCAAAAATAAGATACCTGCCATTGGATCACAATGGATACTGCAGGAACTCTTTTCTTTAGGTGCATTTATTTGACATGTTTGCACAAAAAATGCAATTAACAGTGTTTCTAAACTTGTAATAGGTGGCAAGCTATCATCAAAATATTTGTTTTGTGTTACTCTTCCGTTACTTCCTTCTTGTCCTAATGGAAAGACATGTTCATCTCTCAAAATGCATAAAAATAAAATGTTATTCATAGGTAGTATTGCATCACTCCAATGTATTCTCTGTGTTCTGCAACCTGAACGTGACCAGGGCTAAAATGAAATTGCTACTGTAATTTACTTTGTTCACTTGAAGCTTTGAGTCTCTCAGCGGTGATTCCAGAGACATATGGCTCTTTATTCAAATATATATGATGGGCCACATACTATTAAATACAGAAAATGACATTATTGTAACAGTAACTATACATGCTTTTTTCTAGGTTGTGGTCCCCAGCAACACTCACACTCTGTTGTTAGAACGCCTGACTCCTGAAACTCCTTACTCTGTAAACGTGGTTGCCATGTATGCTGATGGAGAGGGTGATCCAAGTCCTGGAGATGGAAAAACATGTATGTATTGCTTGATCTATAAGACTTATAACAATGTATTATGTGCGTGTCCAGTGAAAATCTAATGTACCAGGTAATGCAATAAATCAAGACATACTTTTTTATCGCTTAAAGAAAAAGTTAAGTGTATTTTGTATAATTATTAGTTATAGGGCCTATAAATCCTCCTCTTTTTTAAACTGGAGTGTTAATATGCAGACATGCATGCACTAAAGCATCCAAAATAGACATTTTTACTCACAGCATCGTTTAAATATTCACAGCTGGAATTTATAGGGTCTCACTGGCTGACCAAACATTGTCTTAATTATTTCATTAATTAATGCCTCAATACTGAGACATTAATGAATGACTGTTAAATGCTGAGAATCAGCAAATACCGGCATTACAAAGCCTGATATAACTCGTCACGTACAGTGTACGTGGCCAGTCATATAGGCACAAAGTGACAAGACGTACACTGTACGTCTCCCGTCACGAAGGGGTTAAAGCCGTTGTATTTCCATTAGCAGTTCCAGGTATTCTTGTCTATATAAAAGAAGCTTTAGTGGAACAGGACTTACAGAGATTCGGTAAAGTCTAAGTCCATTCTAAGAACTGATATCATTGTCATTTAAAAATTTTCAATCATATATACTGTATATCAGGCTGGTATGTTATGTAAGTAGAATTTGTTAAATTATCATTAGCACCATATGTAACTATTTTAGGATGCATTTAGTTTTTGTTTAGATGTTTTCCAGTACATTAAGATTTGTTGCCTGAGGCTTTCCAAAACTAAGAGCATTTAGTTAAAATAAAGCACTAACACATAACTTGTCAATATATACTTTAACACTTCAATAAAAGCTTCTTTAACATAATATAAATGCTGAAACGTGACTGGGTGCTGTACTTCATACTAATGTACATACTTACATAAGTACATATTTTGTCTTCATAATAATTATTTGCTTAGAGTTAAGTTATCAGTTATTTACATGTTCAACAAAGTTAAGTGCACAGAACAAACTACTCCCTTTCACCTTTCTAATGATAATTGTGTCTTTCCTTCATAATGATGGGCCAATAGGGAGGTTATAGTGATGTTTCGGGTGTGAAAGGTGGTGGAATTTGCTTAGTGTAGCTCCTTAAGTTTTGGTTCTCTTGGATCTTCCTGAACATGTTTGAAGGCATATGCAGACATATATGGGTGCCTAAAGTTTAGCAAAATTGCTACTTTAGCACATCTGCGTAAATGAGTAATATGTATTTTGTGCCACTGTGATCCTGCTTATTATTATGCTTACTGCTTCTTGCATACCAATATTGGAGATGTGTACAGCAATTATTCTTTATAGTCCTAGAGCAAATTACCAGTGCAGATACACCTCATAATTCTGCAGGGGTTAAACGGACATTTCATTTATTAATATATTTTAAAATACAAAGATCCTGAGAATGGGGTACTGCCATATTTTTTTATTTTGGCTGCACCAAAGCTAATTATATTATTATTGAAATAAATAGCATACTATATTGTTGGGTGAATGTCACTGTTCTACAAGATTCTAAGGAATTCAGAATGGAAACTTCAGCTCTGTGTTATATTAGAATTTTCCCCACTTTTGCTGACTGCTCTGCAATTCCTTCCAGCAACTTGCAAGCTTTCCAAATACCTGTGGTATCCCTTTTTCCACATTTTGTTCATACTGCGGTAGGTTTATTTCTTAATAATCTGTTAGTATGTCCTAACTGGCAACACTGTGCTATGGAGATTTTATAAAGTAACTGCACCAGTGGTTGGAAATTTCTGAGTTTGCTCACACATTCATCATAAATATTATTAAGTTTTTTAAAGAAGAAATCAAGCTTGTTATCCGGAATGATAATTATTTTATAATTGGTTTTTCCAGTACCTCGCAGCGGGCCAAAGAACATTAGAGTTTTTGGAGAGACAACTAACAGCCTTTCAGTAAGCTGGGATCATGCTGATGGTCCAGTTCAACAGTACAGAATCATCTATTCTCCAACTGTTGGTGATCCAATTGATGAATATGTAAGTCCCCTTATTGACTCTAACAAGAAGTATCATAATATTGATATATGATTGTAAGTGTATGTAATATATCAAGTAGAAGTGGCCACAACACTAAAACCATGTTCTGTCAGCTCGCCAACTGTTCACAGTGTGGTTCTATCTTATGTAATGTATTCATATTGCATCCTTTAGGTGTACTGCCATGTGTTACAACATCTAGTCATAGAAAATAAGCATTTTGGATTTGACTTAAAGTATATCTAAATTAAATTGTTTTTAATTTAGATAGAGTGTGGAAGGTTTAGTAACCTAAGTTATTTTTTATTGCTTTCCCCACTCCTCACACAAATAATCACAATTTTGAAAGAAGTGCTCCTGAGGGCTTGACAAATAAAACATAGTTTAATGAGGTGTCCAATGTTTGTATTCCCCTGCACAATTGTTATACTTTCACTATCAACTTTTGAATGTACTTGGACACTATTTTTACCCATATACATAATGTAAAGTAAAGCTGAGCTGTTAGGGCTTGTTCACACCAAGCGCGGAGCAGATCCGGACCAGAGCAGGTGCAGACCGGATCAAAACTGCGTCCAATGTATTCCTATGGTATTATGACCTCCAGTTCACATCGCAGCGTGCGGATCCAGACCAGATCCAGACCGGATGAAAAAAATGCGGCAAGCCCTATTTTACCTGCTCTGGATCTGGTCTGGAACGCATCAAAAACGCATCAAAAACGCAAAAACGCATCAAAAACGCATGCAAGTGCCTGACCCCTCGTTCACACCTGAACGTTTTGTAGCGCGTTCTACGCTCGAAGAACGCTCTACAAAACGCTCAAAAATATAAATTGCATTGGAGTCAATGGACTCGTTCCCACCTTGCCGTATTTCCGCCCGTCCCGAACGCGCTACAAAACGGCCCACGCCTGAAAAGGTCCCGGGACTACTTTGGGCCGTTTTGTAGGGCGTTTTCCATTGGGATACTGCCAAGTAGCCTTTGTAATCGCGCGACGGCCGCGCAACTTTTTTACCGCGAATCGCGGTAAAAAAACCGCGTGACGGTCGCGCGACAGACGCGCATATTACAATACGCCTAGGTGTGAATGGGGGCTATAAGTCCATGTTAAACTTTTTTAAAATTTTTTTTTTTATTTCTTTACCAAAAACCGGCCCTAAACGCATCCAAAACGCATCCAAAAGGCATCTAAAACGCGGCACAACCCACTACACTGCGTGTGCAGAAACCTGACCGGATCTGGTCTGCATTTGGTGTGAACAAGGCCTTAGTGTGACATAAAACTCGAGACATTGTACCAGTATAGTGCATGCAACTTGAGTTGCTCATAATGATGCCACCAACCTTTATAACTAGGTTTCTATGATGTGCTTTTAAGGCTTACCATTGCAACTATTTAAAGGTCTTATCTCCAGCTGCTATCATTATAATACATTTTTTGCTCTGAATTTTCAATGTGTTCCTATATTACAGTAACGTTATTATACTGTATGTAAAGCTACATATACTGTACCTTCACAGTATACCTTCAAGCACCATTTAAACTCTGAGGTCCTAAAAATGTAGCGCAATTTCCGCAGCAGCAGACATTGTACATAACTTTCTGACATACATCCAAACCAGACTCAAAGTCATGTCACGCCACTTTCATCCATGTGTTACAGATTTTTTTTAAATCTGCTTTCTTTTGAAAGGACCTTATATTCAGGGTTCATTTTATAAAACAGATGTGCAGTACATTATGTCTGCATCTCAGTGTTTACAGTGGCCTTGTCAGAATGTGTGCAGCATATAAAACATCCTATACTATGTGGAAGAAATAAACAACAACATTGTATACCATCAGAATAAAGCTGATGAGTTATCTAACCATGCAAAAATACTAGTTTTATATTGCTTGGCAAAAGACCTCATACAGCTTTTTTTCTTTTTGCTTGATATGCAATAAGGCGATACTAATGTTTAATGTGCAACTTTTATGCACTGAATAAAAGATACATTTACTCCTCTCATACTATACTTTCAGACAACTGTGCCCGGTCGGAGGAACAATGTGGCCCTGCAGCCACTGCTGTCAGACACTCCATATAAAATCACTGTGGTTGCAGTCTATGCAGATGGTGATGGAGGACAATTAACAGGAAATGGAAGGACAGGTAAATTTATTTAGATGAAGACAGTTAATAAAGCAAGCTAAATAACAATTGCAACACTGCTGTAAAACCTATCATGTTGGGAGTTATTATTATTATATATTTAATATTATTAATATTTAGTGTATAAATATTAAAGTGTATGTTTAGCCAAAAGTTTTTTTTCCTTTTGGATGGCATATGGGGGCTTAGAACTTTGTCAGCTTTTTATTGCATCCTGTACCCACTATGTATATTCTATTTGTTCTGGAACCACTGTCAGTGGGACAGAAAGTGATGGGAACCCAAATGCATACAGTTGTCACCAGAACAAGAATAGAAGGTAAATATTTCGAATGGGGACACCTGTTCTGGTGATAGCTGGCTAAGAGGGAATATCTCCTCATTTTGCAGGGTTTTCTCAAACATCAGGTAGCAGCTCCAGGACAGGATGTAAAAAGAAATCCCCATAAGACACAGACAGCAAAAAATAAACTTAAAACGTAATCCTCCTGTCCCATCGCACTCCTGAACGGACAAAAACCCAAATGCAACTGGGTTGGTGCGGTGGTGACAACGGATGCCTCAGTGAAATGTAGATAGATGAAAGTAGTCACTCGCACTCCATGATACTAAAGTCAATGCTGTTTATTGACTGAGATAACACACATCTCCTTAGCGACATTTCGATACCATGCGTGAGAACGGGGCCGAATGATCTCGAAACGTCGCTAAGGAGATGTGTGTTATCTCAGTCAATAAACAGCATTCACTTTAATATCATGGAGTGCGAGTGACTACTTTCATTGATCACAGGTACTAAGGCATTTTTGCTCCTCCTGCTGACCACTGACCCCAGTGCACTTTCTACTGCCACTGGCCACAGTACAGTCCCACTAAAGTCTAAAGGACAGTAAACTGGCCCTTTCTTTAGAAAATTTGGGGTGTTTATATAGTAGCATGATAAAAGATGACAATGCCAAGAATTTATTTTACAAACCCTTTGTTAGCTTTTAACTAGAAAACCCAAGCCCTTACAATTCCCTTGCAATGGAGCATAAGCTTTGTGTTGACATTACATGCTACCCAGAGACTTTGTGAACACAATGCATTAATTGTGGTGATGTGATTTATTCATACCATCAGTGATTCTTCAGTCTCTTGAATGGGTATTATGCCTATAACGTGCCATGCTATTAAACAAATATTTATAATGCATTATTCTCTTTTTAGTGGGTCTGCTTGCACCAAAGAACCTTCAAGTTTCTGATGAATGGTATACCAGATTTAGGGTATCTTGGGACAGAGCTACCTCTCCAGTTCTTGGATACAAGCTTGTGTACCAGCCACATGGTTAGTAAACTTCGTCATGCCTTTAATTGCTTCACACCAAAATTAAGGTCAGCTGGAATTATAAATGCAGACGTTTACATTGAAAAATCCCTATAATCTTAGATCAATCACATGGGTCAATGTGGTAGAGATTTGATATTTGACCCTTTAGTATTATACTATTAGTCTACCTAAGTATTTCATTTTAACATTGTAATCAGTCTTATATAACAATTAGAACATTTCTTATATTGGAATTGAAAACCGTTTCTAAACTGATGACTATGCAAAAGGCTTTCATGGTCTTCTAAACACAAGTATAGTATTTGGCATGGCAGAATTACATATTTAATTTCTTATGATCTATTCATAACATAAACAAAAAACTTACTAAACAGCGATGTTATTTTTTTTCTTTTGTAATCATATAAAGATGCTGATGAATCTGTAGAAGTGTTTGTTGGTGATGTGAATTCCTATACTCTGCAAAACCTGAATCCTGGAACCACCTACGATGTCCAAGTCTATGCCCAGTATGACACTGGACTAAGCGGACCACTCATAGGGCCTGGAACGACATGTGAGTAAGCTCCACCCATAGTCTAATTGACCTCTTATGTAGTGTGCTACCTATTCTGTAGTTTTAGATCATTTTTATTTTAGTATAGAGGTCATAGTATTAACATCATGCATACTTACATCTCCAGTACAGATGTAAAAGCTGTTTATATTTTTCACTAAGTTATAGCTACTTCATTTAATAATTTTGGAGTAAAATTGGACATATAGTACAGCAGCAAATCCAGATCTTTAGTGCTACTGCTTTCTGCTACTCACTACCTTTCTGACCTATGCATAGACTATTGATGGCTTTATGACTATTATGGGTACTATATCCCATGTTTTTAACTGTAACTAGAGACCTAGAAACTTTGAGCATTTTAATAAAATCATTTTCTGCAAAATCTATGTGTATAATGCAATAAACACCAGCAAGTGATATTCTCCCCAATCAATAAGGCCCCTTTCACACAGGCATTCTGATCAGGTCAACCTGTCAGTTATTCAGGCAGATCTGATCAGAAGCCCAATCTTAGTCAATGGGCAGCCAGATCTACACGGACGCGCATCCATATCCATATCCATATCCATATCCATATCCAATTACCCCCGACTCCGGCCAGGTCCAAAAAAACACACTGATCAGAGTTCTGTTTCGGCAGATATGATCGTGGCAGATCCAGGGCAATCTGATGAAAACATACACATGCCTGTTTACATCCAATTCCCTATAGACCAACATGGGACTGGTAATTTAATTTCTTTCCTCCATGGCAAGATGGAGGAAAAAACTGGACGAATATGGATGTCACAATGGTGACATCCATTCCGATCAGTAGGGGATCTTTGTACGGATCTCTGCTGATTGAAACTGAAGCTGCCCATCTGAAAGGAGTCTAACAGTTTTCCAAATGAGCAACCATATTTTCACTGGATACTCCAGTTTGTATTCTGAATTTAAGTCCAAGGTTTTACCTTATCTGTCCATAAAGCCATAAATTGTGGGAGATATGTGGCAAACATGTTTATATTGACTTTGGTTATGAGGATTACATTCCAGCTTTGATTTAAAACTCCTTGAAATGTGCATTGTGTGGGATGCTTATTAGCTAGTTGTTAGTGTTGTTGAGGGATGTGCTTTATCTGTTCTTGCGATGGGAGTTGTGTTATACTTCATCTTGTTATCACACTGCTATTTAGTTTTACTTAATCCCATCATGTTGATACATTTTGCTAACTGCCAGGGAGATAATAAATGAACACGCAAAATACTTTGAAAACCAAAAAAAAATCTGCTTCAACAGTTAACAAGATAATTCAACAGTCCTAGACCACAAGTGATGAGTGAATTGCAAATGCTATCTAGCAAACAGTGCAGTTGTGTTAAAGTCAGAAAGTCCACAATTTGGCTTAACACCCATTTGTTTCTTTAAATAGTATCCTAATGATTTACAATAAAGTAGCTACGGCTACAGATCTGGCTGCAATATTTGCCTTCTCTCTGGCATTGACTGCTCAGGAATACCTTTTTGCCACTAGTTATCCTCAGCTTTGCAGGTTGAATAACAGCTGCCACAATCATTCAACATGATAGACTAAAGGCATACTGTGAGTACAGGGTGTCATAGACCCGCCATCTAAAGGGCATGCCATCACTTTGTGTATGCTTCCTGAAGCACTTAACTTTCACTGTCTTTGGTTGCTGCATTAACCATTAGATACAAAACCAAATCTTATTAGTGACTGTCTGAGAAATGACACTTTGTTATGTGAGGTTTTTTTGTCTGGGAGAGACAGCAAGGAGCCTACAGGGAATGTGTTTAGGAATAGATCCCCTGAAACCCAAATAAAAGAAGGTTACTGGATTTAACAGATTTATAACAAAATAAAGTGGGTGGACTGGTTCAGTACAGGAATGCCTGATTCAAACATTGACTGCTGAGTACTGAGCCGGAAGGATGTGCTCTCTATATGCATTTCAAAGCTGTAGTGCTCCTTTAAATGTATAATTGCATATTGTAAAAAAGAACAACCCTAAACTCTTCTGTCTTTGATTGTACAGTATATTTGAATGTGACTGATCTGACAAGCTACCAGGTTGCGTGGGATTCATTTTGCGTTAGATGGACTCCTCACCGAGCTGCAACTTCATACAGAGTCAAGTTGAATCCAGTTGATGGTACATCACTTTTTCCACTGTTTAAATAGATAGGAATTTTTACTTACCCTCCCATTGTTGATTGTGTAGGAATATCCCCTCGCTATCCCTAGCTCATGTACATCAGGACCCTATTTTTGACCCCCCTCCCGGTTCATGTGTTCATTGGAATGCTAAACTGCTTTTCTCCGCTTTTTATTATGTATAACTGTTCTCTTTTCATAGTAAGCACAGCAAGACTTCTTTTGCTCTCCTGGTTTGTGTTTGATACTGCTGCTATAATCTAATACAGGGGAGTCTTTAAATATGAGTTATGCCTGCCATATGGCTCCTTTTCCTAGAGAGTTCTAGGCAGTTAGCAGTAGTGGAGGACCTGATCCATGGGCTACATGCTACTTCGCCACCTAGTTTTCTGGCTTTTTAGTGCAGAAAGGTCATTTTAAAACAATTCAAATATTATCTTTAGCAAATAACTTATTTGAATGTCTACAGCAGCACCAGTTAACTCACCTATAGATATGATTAAGGCTGACAGTGGGTCAGAGAACTAAGGACACACACAGGTGCACATTGCTACTTCTCAGCTGCAAAAGGTAATTTACTTTCTCCTGGCATGAATAATTGTGTCTGAGGATGTAAAGTCTATTGCAAGGCAAAATTGTAAAAAGAGGTAACCCCCTCCCCCCCCCCCACCACAAAAA